TGCATTGTTATTTATTTATTCGAATAAACTGCAGGCGACGATATTTTTTGTTGCATTTTTTTATTATTTTCAGGCGTAATTATTATTTTCTGGCAAAAACTAACAAACTAAAAAGAACAAATTTTCAGGCGACGAGATTTTATGTTGCATTTTTTTATTATTTTGACCAGTCAAAGAGAGTCTAGAACGTCGTCTACATAACGATTCCCTACAATCAGAGAAAAGAAAAAAGGGGGAAACAAAAAAAAGAAAACAAGACTAATCACGGTGCTGCACCGATGCGTAACACACCAAACTATCGACCTGCTCAATAAATGCGCAATAGACCCGACAAACCGTCTTCCCCCGAACACAACGCACCCTCTATGCAAGTTGTCTATCCGGTCCGATACACATGATCAGCGTGCGTTGTATTCGGGGGAAGACGGTAGTCGGATCGGCGGCTACTGGTAGAAGGATGGGATCGGCGGCTACTGGTAGTCAGATCGGCGGCTACTGGTAGTCAAATTGGCGGCTACTGGTAGTCGGATCGGCGGCAACTGGTAGTCGGATGGGATCGGCGGCTAGTCGGATCGGATCGGCGGCTGCTGGTAGTCGGATCGGCGGCTACTGGTAGTCGGATCGGCGGCTACTGGTAGTCGGATGGGATCGGCGGCTACTGGTAGTCGGATCGGATCGGCTGCTGCTGGTATTCGGATCGGCGGCTACTGGCAATCGGATCGGCGGCTACTGGTAATCGGATAGGATCCGACTAGTGGTAGTCGGATCGGCTACTGGTAGTCCGATGGCTACTGGTAGTCGGATCGGATACTGGTACCGTCGTCCGCCGAACACAAAGCACCCTCATTTTGGCTGTATCTGGCCGGAAATATAACTCGTATACATTCATTTTTAGGGTGCGTTATGTTCGGGGGAAGACGGTAGTCGGATGGGTTACTGGTGGTCTACCAGACTGGTCGAGAAGAAATGTATGCCGACGGCCCTCAGCCTGACCCAACTAGCCATCCCTCCGCTGTTCTATGTGCAGGTCATATACTTTCTGACTCTCTGTTTTTTTTTTTTTTTTTTGCTTTTTTTCAATATCATCTAGTTTCGCTAGTTTACCGCAGTGTAGGACTCCACAAGACAAGACAAAAAANAAAAAAAAAAAAAAAAAAAAAAAAAAAAAAAAACACTCCACAATGACGCACAAAAACACTAAAACTAACACCAAATTAACGCATATCTTCTCTTTTGAAGTTCCCCTCCCCCCTCCTTTTTCCTTCTTTTATTTCCTGTTTTATTCTTTGCTGTCCATGATGATGACAATTTCCCTTCATTTCCTTCTCTCTCTTTTTCCTTCCTTTGCATTTTTTCCTTTCGCCTTCCTTGTTCCCTTTTCTCTTTTTTTTCCCCTTTTTTTCCCCTCTACTTTTCCTCTTTCTTTCTTTTTTTTTTTTTTTTTTTTTTTTTTTGGAAGAAGATCAATCTTTATTAATCATCAAAGCCGGGAAGCGGGCCCGGCGTCCCTCACAAAAGATTGCCGCAGCCCTGGGCTGAGCGAGGCCCCCCTTGCATTCCCTCTTTTCCCACATCTTCTTTCCCCGCCATATAATTTTTCCCTCACCTCACATATCTTTTTAACTGCCTTTCTGCCATATGTCATCATGGAACATATCTTTCTTTCACTACCTAGTACCTAACTATCCGATCGTGACTATACATTGATCCGTCTAAAAAAACTTTTTTCTTCTTTTTTTTTTTTTTCATTTTTATTTCGTTTTATTTCAATTTTAATTTTAATTTTATTATTTTTATGTTTATTTTTATTTTTATTAATTTTAATTTAATTTAATTTAATTTTTAATTTTATTATTATTATTATTTTTTTTTAAAGATACAAAAGGAAAGAGCGGGGTGACGATTGAACAAGTATATACGTACCTGAGACACCGCGTCAAGAGTACCGAAGTCTCCCAGATCACCCCGCCCAGACCGGCGCCCCATTCCTCTTCCAAGCGAATCAACGGCAGTCCATTTCCGATATCAAACCTACGCACCCACATACTCTCCACCTCTTCCTCCTCCTCCTCCTCCTCCTCCTCCTCCTTCTGCTCTCTCTCCTCTCTCCGGGTGACCTCCTTCTCCCTCCCGTTGACTTGTTCGTTGTCATCCTTCACCATCGTCATCGTTGCTTCTCTGGAAACCGCCGCCTTGTCGTGATCAATGTGAATGGCTGCGAATGTACGGTCCAGATCCAGATCATCACCCATCTTCTTTCCTAAACTGGCCAACTTTCCTGATTGATCCACAGCACCGATCGATTGAATTTCCTGATCCGTCCATAGCAAAGACAGCAGCCAACGCATCAAGACTCTCCTATTAGCGCATATCCAGTTCGACTGCTTGCTTCATAGCCTGCTACCATCGCGGAGTGGGTGGTTGGTTCTCTGCTTATTAG